TTTCAAATTAGAACAAGAAGAAACATTTTTTATCAATAACAAAAAGGCGAGTTTATGATTTTATGGTATCATTTACTTTTGGGCCTGAGAGGTCAACGTTCACTTAGCATCACATAATCTACATACCAACGTTTGATTTTATCAGCTGTGAAAGCAAGGACTACTTTGAACGTTCATTGCTGGTATTAATTACATGACCTTTTAGGTCAAGTTTATTTTAGTCTCAAGAGAGTTTGGATATTTTGAACTAGACGCTCTTATTAGACCGTGAGTTCGGCTATTTTGGAGAAAAATTAAGAAATATATATTTTAATCTAATTTTTATCTTTTATGTAATATCCTGCTGTCTTTCTCAAGTTTCATTTACATTCTTAATATCATATGATTAGACAAAATACAACATCATAATCTTTTCACTCGTGTCTATCAATTTTCAAAAATAGCTAGTCCGACTTCACGCCCCAGGGGCGTCTAGTTCATCTTACAATTTCAGAATAATTAATTTTTCTCGCGGAAATAATGGTCTGAACGCAGTCTTTACGAGAGTTCTACAAAACGAGTAAGTTAATTCATAATTTAGAAACATTGCTATGTCATTTATCCGATTCTTCGCGGTCTTTTTGTATAGTTTCCTTGATCCAGTTTACAAATGGCTCTACTCGTGTATAATAGGGATATTTTCCTGGCAATCCGCAGCCCTCCCCCCACGATACCAACCCTGTGGAGACCCATCGCCATTTCCCGTCGCTCTGTTTTGACTCTCTGACAAAGCTGCCGCTCCCGTCACCTCCACACGTGTCGTTGCCGCCCTTTCCATCTCCCGCGCAGAAAGTGACTTTAGGATTGACGAAGGATATGGTTGCGTCGCGACAAGTTATTTTGTTTTGAATGATAAATGCGGAATGCCGCAACACCTTGGCCATGGTTAGATGGCCTCCATTAAACAAGCCATTACCCCTTATCCCAAGAATACGATCTAGTAAATGTAACATTAACCAGTTGTATAAATTATATTTATCTATAAATTTAACTTTTTTATCGCCATTGCTTCTTAAACAAGAACCACTTCGTGGAACATACCGTGTCCAGGCTACGCTAATATATACTTTTACCAGCGACGCGATCGATTTGATAGATTTTGCGTATGATCTTTTCACATCATTTTTTGAATATTTTCATCATTGCAGCGAAAATGTAGCATTCAGATTGCATTCACATAATGATTTTAGAAAAAGAACGAGTATATTTTAAAGTTAAAGTAAGAAAGAAAGAAAAAATTTTTTAGAAGCTGCTGCTCGAGTCGAGAATCGAACCCGAGATCGTCAGTTCAATGCCGCTATTCAAGTACGATCTTGAGTGTAAAATATGTAAAACAAATATCTACAGGAAAAATAAGAATAAGTACATTTCAGTAAAAAGAAGAAGAAAAGAAAAAAGGAATCGCTTAGAAGTGATCGAGTCGAGAATCTAACCCGCAATCCTTTTCGAGTACGATAGTTTGTGTAAAAATCAAAATAATGGCTAATATTTGGGGGGGGGGGGGGGGCAGTGTACCCCCGGTCCCCCCGGCTCCCCCGGCTCCGCCGCCCCTTGGAACTCTGGATTATGGGTCCCTTGGGATTGCTAAACTGCGACGTGGAAAAAAATAATAATAATAAAGTCGCCTGCATTTCATAACCGTGAGATTGTGGTACACACTGACGGCCCCGATTTTATTTTGTTTTTCCTGGAAACACTAAAACCAGCCCCTTATCCCAAGTATAAAATTGTCTAAAAGAAACAATAACCAGTTGCATTTCGATTTTTATTTGTCTATAAACTTTCATGATGTACCTTTTTTTATCTCTGAAATAAGTCAAAATTATCCCTCACAAAACTGTGTAGGTTTAAGTACCCGTATTAAACTCTTTCGAAACCAGTTTTTTTCCAATCTAATAGTACTAGATAAAAAAAATCCGTCTTTTCTTTCAATAGTCCCAGTGTAGTACCTCTTGTTCAACGGTGTCAATACTCTTGTGCCACGTGGGAAGTTCAAGTGTTTATTAGGGACGTCTAGTACAACATGTGTCTTTGACAATGTTTTGAATCTTTCGTTATTCGATTTTTATTTGTATATAAAATTTGATGATTAATCTTTTTTATCGACATTGCTTCTTTTAAAAATATTTAAAAATATTTAAAAATAAAATGCCAAAGTTATCCCTCACAAAACTGTGTAGGTTTAAGTACCCGTATATCTGTTTTATGAATCCAAGCACTAGTTTTATCATCAAAGCGTACTAGATAGTAATATTCAATAATTCTTTCAATGTTCCCTGTGTAGTACTTATTGCCATCTGGTGCCAATACTTTTGTGCCACGTGGTAAGTTCAATTGTTTATTGGGGACGTCTAGTACAACGTGTGTCTTTGACATTGTTTTGAGTTTATCGTTGTAATATTCATCATCTTCTATTTCTAACTGCACCTCATTGTATGTGTCATCGATGGTTTTTACATATGATTTGCAGTAAACATCACCACCACGGTAGTTACTGTCCCACTTTCCAAGCACGCGAGAACCAACCATCACACAATCTATGACACAGTAATTGAACAATTACGGTGTACAGTTCATTTTTCAAAATACATGTAATATGTACATTTTGCGGTTTGACTAAGGTTTGATCATTTAATCTTCGATCTGCCTTCAGTTATTTATACCGTGAGGTGCAATTCATAAACACTAGTGCATTTAACGCAAAAAAGTAAAACAAAAAACAAAACAAAACAAAAACACACATACATTCGGCTTTTCAGTGATTTATATATAGACTGCACGAGAAGTGGTCTCAGTTGCTGGTCGAGAGGACTATGAGATGCCTCAAACTTATATTGCACGGTCACTATGAAGACGACTCAATTTTTTATAACTCTTTATTTGTTTAAAACTAAAAGATGTGTTATTGGAAACACCAAATTTAAATTTAAATTACAATTTATATTTATAAGTTTTAGTTAAGATTTCGTGGATCAATATTGCATAGTGGAATTAATAGCATCGAGCAAGCTAAGTCGGTGACTGCTACAAATCATATAAGAATGTGATAATGCATATAATGTAATGATGTACGTTTTAAAATATAGCTGCTGCTGATGCCTTTGTTGTTGTTCATGTTTTTGTTGTTGCTTTTGTGATGTCGTCCAGACCATACATGAATATACTTACCAGTAGGAAGGTCACATCCGTATATCTCCACTCGCATACACGAGCTTTTAAACAGATATCCAGAAAATCTATACCCAATTGGTCGAAAACGCACCCTCCTCGCAATGATGGACTTCTTCAATTTGTGCTTGACTACAGTTGTTGCATCGCTATTGCCGTTGAATACCTGAGTAAAATACACAGTGGTTACAATGATTAGTAAGAGGGCGATAACTAGTTTCTGATCAATGATTGCCTGTCGTATATACCACAATGTCAAACTACATGATATAAGTACGATTACAAAAACGTTATCATAGAGACCTCATCATAAAGATATTTATTTTCTTGGAGCTTTAACCTCAGTTCTTTTCCAGTGTGTGTGGGCATTCAAACAGAATACTTCCAAAGTTTAATTTTCCTTAATGATACCTTTTCTTTGTCATTTTCCCTGTATTCGATAGGAGATGACTTTGCCAAACTATAACTTATAGTGTACTTCGTCTCCCATTGATTATCACGGGCATTTCCCTGCGTAGCTATGTACGTTATCCTGTAAGGTTTCTCAAGGTCTACTTCCAGATAAGGCGATTTAATGTTGAAACGTCCTGAGCACCAGGTCCTTGTACCGTGCAGTCGACCGTATCTTGCATCATAACGATTGTTCCACCTTGAAGAAGCTCGAATGTTTTTATTTGGAATCTTTCCGTTCTCCATTCCAAGTGGAGACCCACACTCTAAAGAAAAAAACGATCAAACAATCGTCAATAGAATATTTTGTGTTTTAGCTTTTAGCTTATGATTCAATTAACAGAGAGAATTAATTATAGGGTGAACATTCCATTACTAACCACCAATATACCTGGTGTACAATCCGGTATGCTATCAGTCCACTTTCCATCAACACATTTTATTTTGGAGGAACCGATCATCGCAAAATTGCTTTTGCAAGAAAAGCTTACTGTCTGTAGATGAGTGAAAATATCTCCTTTTCTTTCTCCGTTAGTAGGAGCTCCAGGATCCGGACAGTTAGCTGCAAATGAAATGTTAAATAATCAAGACTTTGAAGAGGTTGCTGATGCAGTGGATAAAGAAATTTCTGCAAAAGTAACAGAGACTAAATTTCTACTGCAATTCCATTTCAATGGTCGATGTGTCCGAAAAAAAAACATATTCCCTGCTACAATAGCACGATGGGACTCTGTTGCTCCATTTCCCATTTTTACAAGTCACATTTTCTGAACTTTAAGTATTAAAATGATATTTCAATGGAGAGTAACTGGTCGACATAGTATTTTCTATAGAATTTTACATGTTTAGTGAAGCTGGTTATGTAGAAGACCTTTTTCATTTAGAAAATCGCAAATTGACTCCTATTCCTCTCAACTAACCATTGTACAATGACCTGCGTTATTAGTGCAACTGAAGGTAAATGAAATAGCCGAAATAACTTCATAATTTCCTACTTACTGAAGCATTTCGGGATATCGTTATCCCAGTTCCCATCGACACAGTTTATGGCTGATGGTCCAACCATCGTATAGCCTGCATTACATTGAAACTCCTGCTTAAATTGATCGCCTTTTCGTTTTCCACCACTTAAACTACTAGGCTCTTTGCAAGGGACTGCGAATACATATGTATACATACATTTGTTACAAAATTCTACTAATAATCATATAGAATAGATATTTTGTTGTGTTTAAAGCGCTTATTGGTAATAATCCCTATGTCTCCCAGATCTTGACAGTTCCTGTTATCTATAAACATTGCAGCACATTCGACATATTTTCTAATGTAAGGAGTCAAAAGTCCACCCATAACATTTCCCCGGCTAACGCTTAATTTACCTGAGCATTTTGGTGTCATCTGATCCCATCGTCCATCACTGCATGTAATCATCTTTCTTCCAATCAAATACTTTCCCTTCTCGCAAGAAAACATGACTTGGTCACCATGTTGGAAAGAATGGTTGTATCGATGACCATAACTTGGAGTACCAGGATCTGGACATGGAGCTTCGTAAAGAACAACAAAAACAAAAATCAGACAAATATAAGAATTACTGAGATCAGATTCAACATTAATATGCACATACCAACACATTTTGGAGTTTTATTGGTCCATTTCCCGTTAATGCACGTAGTGAGAGATGAACCAGTACGTTTAAAACCGGTGTTGCATCGAAACCTAACACTTTGACCATGCATAAAACTGTCACCACGTTGAAGCTTCGTACCATTTTTTGGTTGTGTGGGTCTCGGACACGGCGCTGTTTGAGATACAAATCAATAGGGAATCGACTATTAATTTATTTAATTTTGAGATTTATTCGATCTCACCTTTTCCACGTACGTTTAAATTCAAGAACTATGTGACTCGAGCTGCATTTTTAGTTGCCAGTCATGAGCCAGAGTCAATTTGTAATGATCTCTTGTGGGGCGTTAAAAAATTTAGTAACGCAGAGTGAGAAATGAGGTCCAAAAATATAGGGTAAAGGCATACATTTAATTCACTTGCTAAACATAAAGGGAGCCAAACCACTATTTCAGAAAAACAGATGAGTGCGGAGTCACATTGAGATTGCACCATATGATTCCCATTGCACGACATTGTATTGCATCCTTTACCTAAGCAATATGGCCAAATTCTATCCCAAGAACCATCGCTTTGGCAAATGAGAGATGACTTTCCAAGTTGTGTGTAACCTTTTTTACATTCAACGATAATTTTTTGTCCCGGCAAGAACTTGCTTTGTTGAGGTATTTTCCTGCCATCTCCAGGGTGATGAAAATTGGTACAGCTTACCTCTGCAACAAAGTATTCAGTACTTTGTAAATTGAAATCTTATTTACTATTAAGTAACTAAGATGAAAGTTTGGAAAATGTTGGGTCCTGCTACCTAGGCATATTGGCTTGTATCCATTCCAAGTTCCGTCTCGTTGACAGGTCAGTTCTGATTTTCCGATCCTCCTGTAGTTTATGTTACATGTAAACCTTATGGCTTCATTTGGCTGGTATATGCTCTTGGTTGAATTGACTACACCATTTGTTAGCTGACCAGGACCAATGCAGGTAGAATCTAAAAATGAAAAACAGGGATAAACAGTTGATCAAACTCAATTTAACTTCAAAACTGATGGAATATCAATATCCCTGTATACTTAGCATAAACGTCGACCATCAGACTGCCTAATTGTGGCAAAACAGCTGAATAACTGCCCTGTATTAGTAGCTGACTTGTAAAGGAAGTCCATTTGGATGAGACGTTTTGTTGATATGATACTTACTGACTTTATGGTAAATCCACGGTAGGAATGGCTGCAGTCTTGTGTAGTACCCAAAATGACTTCCTAGAGTACATCCACCCCAACTGACTAGACCAATTGTTACAAATCGGTATTTTCCATTTAGAAAGAACTTTCGTACCATACTCCCTCCACTGTCACCGTAACATGGCGCGCTGTGTCCTTTGACATCACTTGCACAAAATGCTACTGTCTTGTTGTAGTAGAAGCTTATTGCTCTCCGACAAACGCTGTTAGTTTGGATGTTAAACACAGAGTAGCGAAGAAATGAAGAAACCCAGCTATAATCCGTCATTCCCCATCCAGCAACCATTCCTGCTGTTCCTGGTTTGGCAAGGTCCAGGTCAGGTCCAGGAAGACAAACAGTGCGCACATACGGGCCGAGAATGACTTCACGGTTTAGTTTAACTAAAGCGATATCGTTCTCATAGATGGGATCATGCCTGTAGTCGGGATGTATAAATATTTCTTGGAATTTATGTTCTTGTTCTGATGATTCATAGCTTCTTAATTCATGATCACCAACTTTGATTTTATACCTGGGACAAAAGTCATCTTAATTGATACTCACTCTTCAACAACTGACTCGAGCATTGTATAATGGTCAGCAGCTTAACTTACTTTGCGAGTGGTTTTATATCTTTTTCAGACCAAACCCTATTTGTGTTATTTTTACCAACATAAAAGCAATGTGCAGCGGTAAGAACCCATTGTGGAGATACCAACGCACCACCACACAAGAACTTCCATCCTGAAACTGATGATAATGTGAAAAAAGATAGATAAGATGACACATTCCAGGCCAGAAGAGATACTTTGATGCCCTCCTCCTTAAAAAGATATGATATGATATGATACGATATGATACCCCGTAGTAAGGATTTTCTTACCACCTTGTTTTTTGTAGATACCAACTTGCCAAGGCCACATGCCTCGTTGCGAGATTTTTCCTCCGACAACCAAGCCGCGTATTTTGATTAATCTCTCTCCACAATGGTCATCTATAAAGCAAACGTGCATTTCATTTCTTTTTCCTATCTCTAGGGGGTGGTGGCTAGGGAGGAGATTGGGAGAGGGTCTAGATACAAAAACTAAGACCTCTTTAATGGTTTCCGAGAGTGTTTGAAAAGTGCTTCAAATTACTTAAAACAATTTGTGAATTAAGTCACTGAGTCGTCTATCCTGTCCATCCTCGTTCTTTTAAGCAAACTATGATAAAATGGTAAGGTGCTGACCTCAGATCATATCGCTTGCACATACAGTGGGTCCAAATGTACAGTTGGCAAAATTTCAGCTACTTACATTGCAGTGAGAAGACATTTAATGCGATCTTTACTATCAGTATAATTACCAAGAAGATAGTTCGCTTCATTATCTAAATAAACAATCAATGAAATCATATCATATCAACCGCCAATTTAGTCTACAACCACTTATATCGTAATAAATGTAATATTATGAAGTCTGTG